TCAAGGCATCCGAAAAGGCAAGGTTGCGTGCCCACGGGGAGTCTGTACTATGTGGTCCACGCGCCGAAGTTCGCCTTGATTGCGCTCTGGACTGCTTGCGGGACATGGGCGGATTATCTTTCAACCATCGCCACGCGCAACACATGTGCGTAAAACGACGCTCAGTCTCAGGGATTAACATGGTAAGTCTGTTGAGGAGGGTGGGATCGAAACCATAGAAGGTGGGCCGCAGAAGGCGAGACATAATGCGCTGGGTGCGAATGCGTGCGGCAGCCAATCCTCCACTTACTGATGCCAGTGCCTCGGGGCGGGCTGTGCCCGGGGCAACCAATGCCTTCGCGGTCCAGAGGCTCAGCTTCGCGTTCATGGAGAAGGCTGTGGGGGTGCGCTCGAGGAAGTATGCGATCGTCGCAGACTTCCAAAAAGGTTCGGCATCATCCTTGATGGCGACGGGCAGCGCTGCCAAGCCTCCCATTCTCGCAACCGTGTCGCTTTGTACATGGTCTCATCCTTGCCACTGCGGTGCAGTCTTCAGCTCCACGCGCAGTGATGACGCGAGGCCCATCGACTCCGATGCAAAAATATTCACGTGCGACCTGCCCGCCATGCTCCAGAATATCGCCCTTGATCCGCAGTTCCCAGGTCGGTGCAGGATCTTGTGGATGGCCCAGTGCTCCACGTCTTTGAAAACCTTGGTGGGGATCTGTACGAACTGCGCGAAGTAACTCAGCGCGGACGCGGCGCGCGAGCGGTGCGTGTGGGTCGAGGTTGGCGTTGGAGCGCCGGTGTTCGCCAGCTCTGCCACCCTGCGCTTGCACTTGGCCAGCGGCAGCGCCCGGGGAGAATTGGTGACCGACGGCCCGATTATCGTGCCCAGGTGCTTGGCTCGGTGGGCGATGGTGAAGGGGCTCAATCAGGCTGGCAGGAGCCGAGCTCGATCTGGAATTCTCTGGCCACGGATGTGGCGAGCGGGCCGCGCGGCGGGGCGGCGAGGCGCATCGTGGAGTTGGGGCGCAGGCTCGCGAGGGGCTCGGCCCCGCCCAACGTGGCGCGAATCTCGAGCAGGGGCGCGCCCTTCCCCGCGGTGGCGCCTAGGTCGTCGGCGCGGGCGGTCAGGCAAGAGTGAGTGTGGTTATTGACGGCGGACTCAAGCCGTGCCGGGATCGAATTGAGGGCGACGCGCCCGATTCTTCCACTCGACGTGCAGCCTTGAACGATTCCCGCCGGCGCCGTGAACGTGAAGTGGAGGTCGCCTTTCAGACTTGCGCATGTGCGCGGTCTGTCGTAGAATGCCTGCAAGGCATTGAGTAGACCGCCGTCCAGCACTGCAGCATGAGCAGACGTCCGCGGCCATTTCTGGTTCAGCGAATGGGGGGCGACAGCGGGGCCGTTGGCGATCAGTGTGGCTTTGTCGCATGCTTGCGGGTTGGACATGGCGTGCCAGCTCCTGGCGCAGGCCGTCGCGCATATCTGGGCGATGCTCGCTGTGGGCTGACGCCCGCGTGGGGAACCCCTCTGGAAGACCTGGGCGTTCTTGGCGGCCGCCGCGTAGGTCTGGCGGTCACAGCTCGCCGCCAGGATCCTCGAGTCGGCATTCCTCAGAGCTGGCCCGCGGAGCGGCGAATGAGTCCCCTGTCGTTTGCGTCGTCGTCTTTCGGGATCGGCGCTAGGATGGAGTCGTTGAAGCCCGTCGGCGCGGGTCAGCCGCAAAGCTGCTCGTGGGTCATATGCGGCTGGAGGCTGGCGCTGTGCTTCGAGTTCCACGCGATGTAGGGCAGGCCATCTGGGCGGGGGGCGGAGCGGCTGGCGTGCTGGATGGTTCGTTCGATGTCGCGCTTGGTCGGGGCGTTGTCGGTCGGGGCGTTGCAGGCGGGGGGGCCAAGGTCGATCGCGTGGCGCCCAGGTACTTCTGATGTGCGTCAGAGCGCGCGGGCTTCTCGGGGAAAACGTCTCCCCTGTAGCTGCGGATGTGTTCCAGCATGCCGATTTGGTCGTGCAGGTCGTTGTCTTCGTGGGCAACGGCTTGGCGTGGCAAGCGGCGTGCGCTTTCGGCCCAAAGTTGCGCGGGCTTGGCTTCTGCTTTCCGGGCGCGATGCAGTCCCGCGGTCTGTTCGTCATCTGCGGCATTGTTCCGCCGCTGAATAACCTTGGCTCGTTCATGCTGAACGTCGTCAAGCCGTGGCGGCGCGACGGAGAGCGACGGCGTCCAGTGGTTCTACTCGTCCAGGGCAGAATCGGATATGTACAATGGCAAACGCGCGTCGGTCGTGCAATGTCTCCGCCAGCTCGGCGCCATTGCTCCGGGCCGCCCTTGCGAGGGAGTGAAAGATGATGAGCTGGCTCGTCGTGGTGGGGGCATGCTGCTCCATTGGCTTGTTCCCGGAAGCGCGCGCGGCCTCGCGCGCCAGGTAAGAATCCGGCGAGTTGGGCGTAGGGTGGCGTGGGCAGCCACCTGGGCGCAGCTTGGGTCATGTTGTCCAGGTAGCGGGCGAATTTGGGGTTCCTTGAGATGTCCTTTGGGGTGCGCGTGCGGTCCTGCTTGTGGGCCAACGAGCGGCGATGCCCATTCAGATGGGGGCGTCCGAGATGTCCTTGTCGAACAGCTCGCTTGGGTCCGCTGGGAGGCTGGCGCCCCAGTGCCACTGCGTGGCCAGCCGCTATGTGGTGGATGCAGCTATTCGGTTGATTCTGCCTGCGCTGGGGTCAGCAGGGCCTTTGGCCGCGTGGTGCGTTGGCGTTTCGTCGTGAATCTCCACGAACGGGGCCGCGATTTCGCCCCGACGCCGCGCGGCGTCGTCGGGGCGGGCGTAGTTGTATGAGTCGGCGACCGAAGCGTCGCGGTCCACCCGCGGCAAGTGCAAGTAGATGGCAAGTCTGTCCGAGGAGTTGAGTCGCCGAGGGCGATGTTGACTGTGCGCTCGGGGGCCAGCTGACGTCGAGCGCGATCTGAATGGGTTCTTTCCTGTGCCGCGTCGAGTTCGGCCTTCGTGAATCCGAAATTGTGGATGCTGTAGACGATGGCCAGGTCCTCCGGAATTCATTCCGTCGTTGCGCTGCGTCGCCGCTTGACCTCGCATTGCACGACCAGGTTCCGCGTCCGTATGGGGGAAACGCTGTCACGTGATTGCCAGGCCAGGATGAAGATGGCCACTCCGCCATCAGAACGCGACGGAATCGAGCAGAACACGTTGAAGCCTTCAAAGTTGTGGGCACGACCCGATCCATTAACTTCTTGGTGGGCCCGCAGCGTTGGCATCTGCTTGAAGATCCTTGTGGGGTACTTCATTTTTGCGTCTCTCTTATCTGGGTCATGATGTAGGAAGACACGGCAGTTCCATGGTGCGAAGTGAATGGGCGCGCGCGCGGCGTCTTCACCACCGATGACTGCCATTGTCTGCTTTGCGTCCTTGCTGGAGGTCCGCTGGATCGTCCATGGGGCGCAGTCAGTGTTGAACACGCCATTCAGTTTCCACGCCGTCGGGGGGCTTGGTGAGGCCTGCGGAGAAGATGTTGGCAGCGTCGTTGTCGAGCAGAACGGCTCCATTGGCTGGGGGCTCGCCGGCGTCCACGTGGTTCCGGTGTGCGACTGGCTTGTCGTCAGGCTGCCGACCCAATTCCACTTGTGCGACAGAGGGGGGTCTTCTATGATATTTGTCCTTTGTATCTGTCCAAACGCTAGCTGTCATGAAGGTGAATGTCCTTGGAGTGGTCGTGGCACTTCTTCGTGCGGTTTTCCTTTCGAGCTTGTTTGGGTTCCGACCCAGGGCGGTGAGAATCGGGGTCTCCGCGTTGTTTGCGGCAGCACCAGTCTTCTCCATTGCCCGTCAGGTTCCTGGAGTTTCCCTAAACATGTCTGCGGCAATTGGCGGCGGCAACAACTTCGTGCCCTTGTACTTGAAATCGACGTGCAGGCCCGTCGCTGGCATTTGTCTTTAAGAAATTGGTCGCAAACCGCTCGAGGCCATGAAGGCAGTGCATGGCCGATCTTGCTGTTTGCAACAGGGGCGGGCGTGTTGATGCAGATGCGGCTGGAATCTAATTTTTCGGTCGTATCCGACTGCGGCTTCCGCGTCGACCATGCCCACCGTTGCTTCCACCGGAGTCAATGATATCTGTAGACCTTTCAGTGCCATCCATCGCATGTCCTTCTGCGTCTGTAGCTGGTAAACGGATTCGCGCATCTCGCTAATGTTGTCTTAGATATGTGTGAACTTTCTTCAGCTCTCTGCTGCATTTTCGGAGAGTCCATGGGTGTCCGTTTCTGCCACTGCTGCGACCCGCTACCTCTTGTGCTGTTTGAAGGAAGCGTCCAACTGCTTGGTGACCATCTGCTCCATATTGGTCTTGATCCTCACCAAGATGTCATTGCCTGCTGCGTCCATGTCCAAGGATTGTGATCCAGTGGTCACAAGTGGCGATCCTCCACTTGCGGTACTGCTTGCGTCAGCACTTGCGCCAGCTGCTTATTGCCAAGGGTCTGCACAATGAACGGGATCGGTTCCACGTAGCGAACGACCGTGGGGGTTGCGTCGTTGATGTTCGCTCGCAACTGCAGCAACTTCCTGTCGCCGAAAACATTTTTGCCGAGCCTTCTATGTATCTGCCCCATGATGACTGCCAAGAGTAGGAGTACCGCCGTGGAGAGGTACCATGGCATGACGGCGGCGTGCTCAATACATAATGTTCTAGCAGGGACTCACAACATATTGAAAGTCTGAACAGTTGAAAACTGGCTGCGAACTAGCTGTGTCCAGCTTGACCCCAGGGGAACTGAACATCTTGAGACATAATGGCTACGGGGGGAGAGGTGGATAAGCACGAGGACGCGGGGAAAGGAACAGGATGAATAAGAGGAAAGGGGTGGCAAGGTTTGAGAATGAGGAGGAGGAGGAGGAGGAGGGCAATGCTAAGTGAACGCATCCCGGCAGGAAATGGAAAGAACGACGAACGCGGGGATGTGGAGGGGGAGGACGAGAGGGAAGAGGCGGAGGGAACAACGCCTCAGATATCTCCGCCGTCTCTGAACGCGAATTCCTCCATCGCCGCAGCCTGGACGATGTGCCCCGGCCAGAACTCTCCAGGAAGGAGAAGCCTCAGGACAGCGCAAGCCCTCCACCCCCCCGGGATGGGTACGCTGAGGTAAACCTCTGGCCGCAAGAAGCCTGCACAGGAAGCCTAAGGGTCAAAACCTAACAATCTCGAAGGATTCAGGGTCTTGGAATTTTCGGATTCTCATCGCACGCCTCTCTGAACCTCGGAAACCGAAGGCACCTTGGCAACATGCAAATGGTTCCTGGGCGTGCGGGAGGCAGGCATGGATAGATACGGAAAAAGGGGTGGCGGCGGCGCGGAGAAGGATGAGGAGGATGAGGAGAAGGAGGAGGAAACACGGAGTAGCATAAGTAGGGGTACTAATGCTATAGCATACAACATGTAAAACGGGCGTGCCACATTTTTGAATTCAAGGTGGCCAGACTCGTGGTGCGGGTGGAGTCACTGCGGTGCCCTGACCGTAATGGTTTGGGCGAGACAAGGCGAACAAAAATAACACTCACCGCCAAGAACATGCATCTAGCGCGACACCAAGAAAGGCTGGCTGAAAACAAAGCCGCGTACACTATCCGCAACCTTGCCGCTAGGCACTCAGTGGAGTGCTCCCAGGTCCTTGCGAGTCCTCTTTGTCGAGTAACCACTGTAACTTTTTTTTGTGTGTGTATGTGTGTGTGTGTGTCTGTGTGTTCGGGGGCGGCCAAGAGGGGGGCGTCCAAGAGGGGGGGGCGCAAATCATGGCAGGCGGCATGTGCGCGGCCCAGGGGGTGGGGGGGGGCTAGGGACATAATGAAATAAGAAGAGGCGCCATGAAAGCTGAGAAAATGTCATGACCCACGCCATAAAATCCCCCCTTAGTCATCTCCCCCTTCTTGGCAGCCCCGCATGTGTTTGTTACATCGGACCGATGACAACGCCGGTGACAATCGATGAACGGCCGCTGCAAGTCGCCTGAGCATCAAATTCGTTTTCCCCCACGGGGGCCGCAACCGCTCCCGTCGACGAGCCGTTGACGCCCCCAAGCAAACTCTGCAAGAACAATACTCTACAGTGGCCAGCCGGGTAGACGTCACCACAACCAGGCGTACCTCTTGTGGCCCTTGATGGCCTTCGGCCTGTACCGCAGCCGTGCCTGGGTTGTGGGCCAGAGGCCTCTTGGATGCTTTTCGGGGTATCTTGGGATGCCCCTTGGAGGAGGAGGAGCTTCGGTGGCCGCGCATGCAGCGTTGCAAGAGCGAAATAGGTACTGGAGTCGTCGGACTCCAGGCCGCCTTAGGAGACGTATCGTTTGCCTAGTGGGCATATCCTGGAGTTTCTTGGGGGTCTCTGAGGATGCAACTCCTCTTGGCGGTTTCCTTGAAGCCTCTTGGAAGCCTCTTGGGGGCTTCTCGTGGTCTCCTTCTTGGGAGCATCTGGGGATATTGGTCTTGGGGCCCATTTTCCAGGGAGGGGCTTCCAATACCAGTTCGAGTTTGCCCTCTTGGGCCGAGCCTCTTGGGCCGCTTGGGCAATCTTGCGGCGGTTTTGGCGGGCTCGTGGGCTGTCTTGGAGCCCTGAAGCTCAAACATCCGGATGCCTCATCATTGTTTAGTCACGTAAGGAATCATCTTGGTCTCTTGAGGCCCTCTTGGGGCCCTCTTGGGGGTCCTCTTGGGCACGTCTTGGGCCGTCTTGGAAGCATCTTGGACCGTCTTGGGGTCCTCTTGGGACCTGCTGGGGCCGCTTTTGGGCCAACTGGCCTCGGGAACAATCGCACGGAACACCGCCCAGTATAAAGGGGACTCGAAGGGACCTGAAGACACCCCCTTGAGTGCCCAGCGGTATGGTGGCGTCTTGAAGGGACCCATAGGGCTGGTGGATGACGGGAAGCGTCTTCGAAAGGCCCTGGACACAGATTTGCATGCGGGGTCGCAAACCCCCGCACAGCATGCAAGTGCGATGGCATGGTTACGATGTTTCGTCTTTTGCCTTCTATCGCGAGCCGTCGCTGAGCTGAATACTACGCGCTGGAGGGCCGAGCGCTGGACGGCGGCACGACCGTCCTGGAGTCTCGAGAGGTTGCCGACAATGACCGACAGAGACGAGCCAGTGCACAGCATGTGGTGTTACCACCGAGCCTGCCGCGCCACTCCCGCCAGAGGGCGAGTGTGGTATAAGGGCGACCTCTACGAGGGCCAGGACGCAGTGGAGAAGCTATGCAGAATGGCGGCACTCAATGGTGCTGTATCCGTCCCATCCTTTCTTCATACCCAATCCCGTTTACCACGGCGAGACCTCATCAAGGTATGGTCAAACAACGTTGAGGCAATGCTGATGCCTGACCAACGGGACAAAGTTCTTCGACACTCTGCCGCTGCACAAGGGGACGTACTTGCCCTACGGGGCACCAGTGGCAGTGCCGATGGTCGTAGCACAACATGGCGCAATCCAGACGGCCAGGGTGAGTCCAGAATCGACTACATTGCGACGACCTTGCGTACAAGAGATCAGGACTTCGCTACAGCTACCAGTGATACTCCGGTGGCATTGGGACCAGCTCGTGACCAAAGGATTGTGGAGGCATCCGTTCGAGCGGGTCTACTTGTTCCTAAGCGTGCCCCGCCACAACACGTGAAGTCTCGGGACCGCCCCCTACTTGCTGGTGTTGCAAAGACCTGGCTGAAGTGGTCCGAGGTTGAGGCGGAGGCTGGAGGCAATGGCGGACCCACCACACCGCTGACCAGCAGTGTGCCTCTTTACCAGGACAGACTCACCGACGAGCTGTGGGATATTGATCCAACATTGGCAGACAGTTCTCCAGCGGAGCTTCTCGGTCAACTCTCCGTCGGGCAACAGTGTGTGAGCGAACACAACATCATTACGACCTCTACCCGATCATCTCGCCAGCTCGTGGACGGAGCGGCCAGTGCAGTATCCAAAAAGATCGCACTACGTACGGATATCAAAGATAGTCATCGTGGGCAGCTTGGGCGCTTGAGCGGTCTCAGTATTACGAGTGGCCAAACCATCGACTTTCATGTTCTTTGCGATCATGCCCCAGCCGACAAGCCCCAAGCCAGACCCTCCTCAGCTGCCGCCAGCCTCAACCTGAGCAGCAACGAGCGACGGCTGCTGAAGGAGCTGGCCAAGCTGAGATTGCAGCACGAGGACACCCACCGCTCGTGCGCCAAGGACAACAACGTACTGATGGACATGGAGAACAAGTGCAAGCTGGTGCTGGGCTACGACCGTTCCATCAAGCCGTACGATGCGGAGGGAAAGGCAGCACAGGCCAAGGTGGACGAGAAGGTCGTGGACTACCTCGGCCACCCCCAGGGCAAGAAGCCCGACGTGATGCTGCTTGCGGTACCCTACCACCTTCATGTGGCGCTGAAGGTGAACGCCGACCCTGTGGGGGCGGATATGGACGTGGGCGACGTGGCGGCCGTGCAAGGGGCCGTGGAGGCTGCTGGAGCTGCTGGCGCCGTGGCTCCCCAGAAGAACTCGCTTCAGGCCATGTGCTGCTTCATGACTCATGACTGAGAGCACGGACGAGGTGAAGGCGGGCAAAGCTCGTTGGATTGTGACGGCAGGTCGTCATCGGAAGCTGATCGAGCCCAATGGCACGTTGGGCACGTTGAAACAGGCGATGAAATGGCAGAAGAAGGTAGGCCTAGCGATCGACGACGACTATGCCCCCCGCTTCGAGTGCGCCTGTTGTCGTGGAGCGGGCGTTCTGGGCAAAGCCAAAGGCAAAGGGCAATAAGAAATGTGACTGAGTCGCATGATAGGGGGGCTCCCGTCGTGAGTCCCCTGAATTAGTGGCTTGGGCTATTGAGCTACAGTTTGTTTTGGTGTAAAACACGTTCAATGCCGTTTTCTAGCTTGCCACCAGTCCTACGGTCAGAGGGCCGCAGACTGACGTGCGAAGCTGCCCACCAGTGGGTGGGTGCCTCGTGTGTTGCGTCCGTGCACGCACACGCGCGCAGGCCTCCCTTTCGGCAGGCCTTGTGGGGGCTCGCGAGACCTCTTAGGTTGGGGTTGCGTTGTCAAAAAAAACATCTTCGAAGTACGGGAAGCGATGAGCCGCTGACTTCGGTTGAACTTTGCATGTGACTTCTTATTTGACACAGCCGCGCGCGCCGCGAGAGCACCAGTGCGGGGTTCCGCGGGGGTGAGGGTTGGCGGATGACGGGAATCGCGCTCAGACTCGGAGAGTCGCGCGATGGATGTTGATAGGGACCTGGAAGGAGATACCATCCACTGGGGGGGTCCAAAGGGGAATGGCTCAAGGGTCGATCCGTGGCTCGCACCTGGCGGATGACGGGAAGCGCTCTGAGACTCGAAGACTCGCGCGATGGACGTTCGTGTAGACCCAGAAGGCAATACTATCAACTGGGGGGTCCAAAGGGAAGTGGCTCGGGGTCGTTCTGTCATCATCACCTTTCGGATGACGGGAAACGACCTCAGATTCGAAGGGTCGCGCGGCGGACATTTTGTACAGACCCTGCGGGATAATCTTTTTCAAATCGGGAAGTCAAGAAAGGAAATGGCTCGGAAACGCTCCGTCATCAACGCCTGGATGATGACGGGAAGCGCGCCTAGACTCGGAGAGTCCCGCGGTGGACGTTGGTTGGTACAGACCCATAAGAGGGAACATGTATCAACTGGGGGGGTCAAGGAGGAGAAAGGCTCGTGTCTCCTCCTCGATTCGCGCCTGTCGGATGACGGGGAACGAACTCAGACTCGAAGCGTCTCGCGATGGACGTTGGGACAAACTTGCGGGAGAATATCCATCAAACCGGGGGGCAAGGAAGGGAATAGCTCGGGCTTGCTCTTCCATTCGCGCCTGGTGGATCCCTCAGACTGGCCATCTCGCCTGAAACATCCTCGCAACAAAAAGGAAATGCGGGAGGTTCTCGCTTACGACGCTCATGCGCTCGCGAAAAACATCCTCAAACCGTTGGTATATTAACATCGTTCGCGACGTCTTCGTGTATTCCGGAATGGTGCTCTCGACAAAAAATGAACGTTGAAAGAGGTGTTCTACGACATCTTTCGGTG